GCAATATCAGCATGACGCGTGCTCAGGTGGGGGGTTTGCCCTGAACACTCACCACCACCCGCACCTTGCCTCTGCACACCACCAACAGCAGCATCAGCAGCATCAAGTACAGCTGCAGCAACAGCAACATGAGAGTGGTACCACCACCGCCACCAACAATGGCAGCAGTGGCAGCATGGAGCAGCACGCATCCCTCAGAGAATCGGCCCCTCGTTCCGCCTCCTCTAAGCCTTGCCGCTGCCACCACCAGCAGCACCAACAGCAGCATCAGGCCCACCCACTCACTGCCAGCATGACTGGTCCCACTGGGCCCTCTACGGCCGCTCCCGCCTCCTCCCTCCACTCCTATACACATGCCCAATCTGGCAATCATCCGCACTCCCACCCTCACTCCCTTTCCCTCTCCCACCCTCATTCCTCCGCTTTCCTCTCGCACTCCAGGCACCACCCACACTCACTTCCCTTGTACAGCCCGTCTTCTCCTGCGGCTGCTGCCGCCGCTGCCGCTGCAGCTGGTACATCCCTTCCCGCTCTGCCCTCAATCCCCACGCTGCGCTCCTCCATGCCTGCAATGCACTGCCGCATGCACCCAGCAGCAGACCCTTCCAGTGCCTCCTGGGGAAGTCCCTTCACCTCTCACCGCGCTTTCACCCCGTTCGCCCCGCTCCACCACCCACCCATGGGTTTGCTGCCCTCATCCCCAGCAGCGGCAGCAGCAGCAGCAGCTGCGGCGGCAGCGGCGGCTCGTGCAAGGGCGATGATGGGAGGAGATACAGGTACAGGGCTTATATCAGGCGCGTCTCATGTCATGGCTGGCCATTCTCTGGGGTCTGCACCGCTAGGCCTGCCCTGGTATGATGGTGTGGCGCAGCAGCAGATGGGGTATCCGCCTGTGTCTCCCGCATCTGCTGCTGCTCTGGCTCCTCCGGCTGGTATGCCTGCTGGCGCTCTGGATGCTCCTAGTGGTGGTGCTGCTGGTTCTGTATCATGGTCGTTTGAGCATCACCGTGAGCATGATCAACAGCAGCAGCAGCAGCAGCAGCAGCAGCAGCAGCAGAGCTTACAAGACGGACAGAAGCAACACCAGCAGCAGGAGCAGGAAGGTGGTGAGAGCAACGGGCAGTCACACAAGGCTCAGGACGGATCATCAGCCTCCTCTGCTGCCAATGCTGCAGTCGCCTCTGCTACTGATCCCACCGCTTCTGTCTCAGCCTCTGCTGCTTCTGCCTCCCTCACGCCGCCTGCAGCAGCTGCTGGAGCCGTGGCGGGTGCTAATGCTGGCCCCAATGCCATCATTGTCGATTCTTGTGCTGCTGTCCCCAACTCGAACTCTGCCCCTACTGCCGCTGCCGCCGCTGCCGCCGCTGCTGCCGATGTCGGTGCCGCTGCCACCACCCCTGCCACTGCCCCAGCAACATCCACCACCACCACCACCACCACCACCACCACCACCACCACCTCCCACCCACTCCCCCACTCTCACCACCAGCAGCAACTCCTTCTGGCCTCCACTGGCTCATCCCTTGGTGCTGCTGCAGCAGCAGGAGGATCAGGGACCCTGTATCCCTACACCCCGATGCGCCATGCTCCCCTGGTCTACACTCACGCGCACTCTGCTTTCTACCCGGATGCCACAGCAGCTCGGTACCTCCCACCGCCCATGGTACTGGCTCCCTTGCACGACTCCCATCTCCATCCCGCACATGGCCTGCATTCCGTGTGCTCTAGCAGGCACACCAGCAGTGCCAGTGCCAGTGCCAGTGCCAATGGAAGTCACAGAGAAGGTACTGGTACCGGGGATTTGTGCAGTAGGCGTGCGCACGGTGTTGGGAGGGAGTTTGGGAGGGGGCTGGGGAGAGAGTATGGAGCAAAGGAGCAGTGTGTGCAGGCATGCTGCAACCCTGTTGCTGCTGCATTAGGTGGAGGTACTAATGCTTCAGCTGCTCCCACTGCACATACATTTGAAGGCTTTTGAAGCCCGAACAATACACGATTCTTGCTGCATGGGTCATTTTGTTGCACCCAAGCCTACTGTAATTCTGTCTCCACTTGCTCCTGTAGTTGCATATGTGAATGGATGGTGTGATACCGGTGGGCATTGTTTTTCTTTAATTTTGCATATATGTATATGGTAGATGTAAATCGGGTGTTGTGTTACCTGTGTGCAGTTTATGATTGAGACTGTTTGTATCTACTCTGGAAATGGGCGATTTATCTATTTACAGTATCAATAAGAGTCAGATCTTTCCTCGCCATCCACAGCAAACTCTCGAATGATTATAATTCTGAAAGTGTGTAAGTTTTACAGGTGAACTAAATATGAAGGTGCATGTATACATTTGTAAGGGTACACTATTAGGTTGTAGGTTGGGTTGTATTGTAGAGGGTATGGGTTGCTACTTCTACCCCCCTATGTGCCCCTTTCTAGTCATCCATTCACTCGTTAACATGGCATCAGCGTATGTTAAGTTATCGCTTCTGCCCACCTCCGTAGTTACCCTAGCACCCTCTAGCTCGCCCCACACCCCTCTTTCCCATCTAGCACCCTCAAGGAGACCCTTGTCGTCGCCCGCGCCCGACGCGCCTGCGACGCCGCTGTTGGAAACAATCGGTCCTAAGCGCCTCTGTCGTGTCGAAACACTAAGACACAAAAGAAACGAAGTATAACGAATCACCGGCGAGTCAACCCTCGGAGGTTGAAAGTAACTGTTGGAGGTTACGCGAAAGTCAAAGGTCAGCGACCTTTGACCTGACAAAGTACAGCGCGACAGCAAGGACAAACAACTGACTCGGTATTGAGCAGTTGCCCGAGTCGTCACCGTATCGAACCGCAACAGCAATAGTAAAACGGTTATTAACTGTATCTCTTCGTATTCCTTGTACTCTTATAAAAGCTTGTATCTCTTTGTTTTAATCAACTTACTTTGCCCTCACATACTAGTGCAAGGTGGTTCACAACTCTTTAATTAACGCTTCCGCTACTACACCAACTCTACCCCTGCAAAGATCCTAAGGGTTTTTCAGCCCAACAGCCGCCACCCGCGCCTGCCGCGTTTGCTGCCGCCCGCACCTTTCGCACCGAAGCTTGCCATGCCACCCCGCGCCCGCATCTGTGCCCGTGCCCGCGCCTTCCACGCCTGCTGCTGTGCCTGCTATGGCCATGCCTACTTTTGCTCGACGTCTCCGCGCCTGTTGCGGCGTGCCACTGACTTTCTCCTCCTCCACCCATGGTTGTCCCCTCCGTGCTGCGGCTCGATGCGGAGGGCAGGCGATCGACTCTGATGAATGGCTGCTCGATGTCACGCTCCACCTGCGGAGCCAGCTCTCAGGTGACATCACCCTCTTCACCCATCTGTTGGGTGAGCTGCATACCCCAACGTCGTCTTGCTCGTGCTGATGAGGCCACGTCGGTGGAGCACGAGGCTCACCATGTGGCCCGACTTGCGTACACGGTTTGGGAGTTGTGTGATGCCGTTGCGTGCCTTTCTCTTAATCGCCTCCTTCCCGCCGACCGAGCGATTGCACTTTCGCGAGACGCTAATATTGTTGATACTCCACCCCCTCCTTGTCAGAATCTTTTAGTGCTTACATTTGTGTAGGCTATAGTGGAGTAGCCCAAAAGGGGTACAACCCAAGTAGGGTTAGTACTTGTACCCAACTTTTTCATAGTTCATTCATTCTCGTTCATTCCTTTGACATGGTTTCAAAGCAGGTCCTTCGTTAGGATCGATTTTTTTTTAGGGCCCACCACAGCACTACCCCACTATCCGCCCTACTGGCTCACGCCCCGCCCTCTGCAGCCCTCGTGCCGCACCTACTGCCCCGCGCGCCGCCCTCTTCCGGCCCGCCCGTCAACCCTAGGCCCCGCGCGCCCGCCCCTTGCAGCCCGCCCGTCGAGTCTAGGCCCCGCGCGCCCGCCCCTTGCGGCCCGCCCGTCGACCCTAGGCCCCGAGCGCCCGCCGACCCTAGGCCCCGGCCCGCCCGTCGACCCTAGGCCCCGGCCCGCCCTTCGACCCTAGGCCCCGGCCCGCCCGTCGCCCCTGTTGCCCCGTGCGCCCGTCAACCCTAGGCCCCGCGCGCCCCGTCGACCCTAGGCCTCGGCCCGCCCGTCGCCCCTGCTGCCCCTCGCGCCCGTCGACCCTAGGCCCCGGCCCGCCCGTAGCCCCTGCTGCCCCGCGCGCCCGTCGACCCTAGGCCCCGGCCCGCCCGTCGACACTAGGCCCGGCCCGCCCGTCGACCCTAGGCCCGGCCCGCCCGTCGACCCTAGGCCCCAAGCGCCCGTCGACCCTAGGCCCCACGCGCCCCGTCGACCCTTAGCCCCGGCCCGCCCGTCGCCCTTGCAGCCCCGCGAGCCCGTCGACCCTAGGCCCCGGCCCGCCCGTCGCCCCTGCTGCCCCGCGCGCCCGTCGACCCTAGGCCCCGGCCCGCCCGTCGACCCTAGGCCCCGGCCCGCCCGTCACCTCTGCTGCCCCGCGCGCCGCCCCTTGCGGCCCGCCCCTCGCCCCTGCAGCCCGCAAGCTGCCCTTGCAGCCCCGCGCGCCGCCCCTGGTGGCCTTCTAGCCGCCCCTTCTGCCCTGCTAGCCGCCCCTTGCGGCCCTCTCGCAGCCCCTGCAGCCTGCGCACCGCCACTTGCAGCCAGCTTGCCGCCCCTTGCTGCTACCTACCCTGTTTCCTGCGCTGCCAGGCTCTTGCCCGCCCTGCGTGCTGCGCCGCTATGGCTTCTCTCCGCGTTCTCGCGTTCGATCATGAGGGCCGCCCGATCCAGTTTGACATGTGGCTCGACGACCTGCAGCTGTACCTACTGAGCGACTCTAGGGACAGCGTTTCGTTGTTTGACCACACGTCTGGCGCCACTCCCGCGCCCTCCCGCCACAGCTGACAGTGCGACTCGCTCACAGTGGCTTACTCGCGACGCTGCTGCCCGCTTAGCCATTCGCAACTACCTGCCGTTAGCTGAATGCGCTCACCTCGGACAACACAAGACAGCACAGGCACTGTACAACGATGTCGTCGCTCGCTACTCCTCGCCTGCCACTGTTGCTCTAGGCTGCCTGCTACTGCCCTACCTGTTTCCCGAGCTGTCTGCTTTTGCTACGGTAGAGGACCTGGTGTCCCACCTTCGCACTAGTGACGCTCGCTACCGCACTGCCGCCCCAGCTGAGTTCCTTGTCAGGAACCAGCCCCCGATGTTCATCAGTCTCTACTTTATAGTCACCCGCCTCCCTGACTCTCTTCGCTCTGTCAGGGACCACTTTCTCTCCCTCGACCCCACAGTCCTCACTATTGACTTCCTCGAGCAGCACCTCCTTGCAGCCGAGACTAGCGTAGTCGCTGTAGGTGCTGCTTGTGGCACTCCGCGCACACCCTTCTTTGAGGGGTGCTCCCCTTACCCCGTTGCCCCCTCCAACGCCTCTGCTGCTGCTGTCGACGTCCCTAGTGCTGTGGACGTCGGGGCTGCTTCTACTAGTGCGAAGCGCCGCGGCGGCAAGGGCAAGGGGGGCAGGAGTGGTGGAGGTGGCAGCGGGAGTGGTAGTGGGGGCAGCGTTGGAGGTGGTGGAGGCAGTGGAGGTGGTGGCAGCAGTGGGAGTGGTGACGGGAGTGGGGGCTTTGGTGGCGGCGGTGGAGGCAGCGGTGGGAGTGACAATAGTGGCGGTGGTGGGAGTGGTGACGGTGGGGCTGGAGCTACTCCGCGTGGAGGTTCTGGCGGTGGCCAGAGGCAGTAGCAGCAGCGTCGGAGCGAGACCCCGTCGCCCCAGTAGCTTCGTGAGTGGTTTTCTCAGCGTGGGGCATCTGGGGGTAGTGGTAGCTACCCATATGTCATTCGCACGGGTGACCGTGCTGGTCAGACATGCGGGAAGCCTCAGACTCAGCACCGCTGCTTCTCCTGCCTCCACGACGCTTGGCACGCAGAGTTTGGTGACGAGGCCGAGCGCCCAGGTGTCCACGTCAGGTCCGGTAGCACCCCCTTGCTTGTGTCGCCTCCTGTCGCACCAGACTCTCCTGTGGCACCACCGCCTTGGTCACCCCTCCCTGCCACGCCTTCGTGGCATGCACTCCCGCCCCCTTGTCTCTAGTCTTCCCAGGTCTCTGCCTCCCCTCCCACCCTCACCTGCCCCGCCCTGCCTTCCTTGCGTCGAGGGGCGGAAGCGAACCGCTCCTCACTCCTCCTCGTTTCCCCCGACGACTGCTCTGCTGTAGACCCTCCACATGGACGTGTGGGGCCCAGCCCGCGTCAGTGGACAGGGCCGCGAGCGCTACTTTCTGCTGGTTGTTGACGACTACACACGTTACACCACGGTCTTCCCCTTGCGCTGCAAGGGTGAGGTCCCTGATGTCTTGATCCCTTGGATCCGCGCAGTCCGTCTCCAGCTTCGCGAGCGGTTCCGCCAGGACCTTCCTGTCCTGCGTCGGCACTCTGACATGATCCATGCGGCTGCTCCCCATTTTCTGTGGCCGTTTGCGGTCCGGTACGCTGCGCATCAGCTCAATCTCTGGCCCCGTGTCTCCTTGCCGGAGACCTTGCCGACACTGCGTTGGACGGGGGAGGTTGGCGATGCGACGGTGTTCCGGGTCTGGCGCTCTTGTGCCTTTGTTCGCGATACGTCCGCGGACAAGCTCTCCGCCCGCGCAATTTCTTGCGTCTTCCTTTGCTTCCCCCCTGACGCGCCTGGTTGGCAGTTTTACCACCCCACCTCACGCCGTGTCTTCCCCTCTCAGGACGTCACGTTTGACGAGTCGTTTCCCTTTTACCATCTCTTCCGCTACCGCTCGGACCCTCCCCCACCCCCGCCGCTCTGCCTTGCTCCACGTCCCCCTCCGGTAGACCCCCTCCCCCCCCAGGGTCCTGCTCCCTCGGGTGTGTCTCAGGTAGACCCTCTCCCTGGTACTGTACCTGTTGAGGTAGCTGTCGACTCAGGTGCTGCTTGAGGTGCTACGTCTGGGGGTGCTGCGTCTGGGGGTTCGCAGCCTAGGGGT